CTTCATTTTGTATTGTGCACTCATCTTTTACTTTTTTTTTCTGTTTCTCGGGGCCTGTTTACTGTAATTTGTGTATACTATATATAATATTTTGCAAAAATTCAGCATTGCAGTCAGGAATAATTTACATTTTAAAATGTACTAAAATAGAAAAGCATTGTTTTGTGATATTTCATAACTATTTTTGATCAAATGATTGCAGCCTTGGTGAGCATAAGATACTTATTTCAAAAGCTTAAAAATGCCCCCAAACATTTGAACAGTTGTGTATGTAATTACATTACATGTCAAAACAAGTGGCTTTTATATTAAAGAAATATCGTACAAGAACACTTAATAAAATAATGAAGTGTTTATGGTTGTTAAACTTTGTGCAACATGTTTATTTTCACCGGTGTGAACTTCATAAATCCATTAAAATCGGATGAGACAAATTGATAAAAAACAATCAGAAAATCAGGTTTTGTGTCTAATGCAATTCAAATCTGAAATTTGAAGTGACTTGGGGCCTCTGTTCGAATTGAATAACAGCATCTTACTTTGGTGTTTTGCAATATCTTACTTGCTATATTACTTCATTCCATTTTACTATCTACAGACAAACAAGCACCCAATAGGAACACAGACACGATAACAGTTAACCAAATAGAGTCTAGCTTTATTGAGAGGAACAAACACCTTTTGTCATTGAGACTTACATTTTGTTTGAGTCCACAGACCCAAAGCGTTATAAAGTTTTTCCACCCTTTCACTTTCTTCTTTCTCTTTTTTGGTTCGTGTTTTTGTCATATTGAAAACAAGTTTAAAAGCAACATGTTTCATTCAGTAGACAGTAAAACATACTATTGTATGTTGTCATCATCACAGCACGAGACTCAAAAGTGTTAAGACCACTCAGTCAACCTGCAAAGGCACGAGAAAAAAAAAACAATACAAGGGGGGAATGTTAAAGGGGTCACATGATGCTTTTTTAAAGATCATTATTTTGTGTATGGAAAACTCGAATTTAAGATCATCCACACTACTTCACAAATCGCCGCGGTTTTATAAGAGCAAACATCAAAGATAATGTCTTTCATAAAGGAGCTGAAATAATAATACATCTGTTAGTTCCTGAGAATCAATCTGTTGGTGAGAGTGTTTGTGTGAGCGAGTTATAGCTGGTGTATAATATTGAACACATACATGTAAATGTACAGATTACATCAGCTCTGCAACCGGCCATGGGAGAAACCATCTCTTCTGACAGTTTGAAAAGCAAATTTTGCGTGTTTTTCTTTACTTTTTTCCCCTCCTTTGGGCATGTCCAGTTGTCCTGTGGATTCCTCTTGGACATTCTAGTCAGACACAATCAGAAAAAACGGCAGTTCGTGCAGTTAAATCAGGTTGTCCATTCAGACACCAATAGAGATAAGGAGCTGAACCCGAAAAACTTCATCTTCTCATTAGCACTTCCACTTGTGGAAAAGACAAAGAAAAAACCCAAGCAAGAAGCGCGACAGTCAGAATGTGCTCGACTCTCACAAACCAAAGTAACGTTAGTTAAACTGTAAGGCAGGTTACGAGGTGCGTAATCATGTGTTTGTGTGGATATCTTTCAGTACGACACTCCGATAGAGAAAGTGTGTGCCTGTGGCGTCAACTTCAGCTGCTTAAACTCACCTAGTTGCTAACAAAAAAATTTAAGTCTCATCTTCAACCTGGAACGTGCCTCCTTGTCTTTACTGTAGAAGGTAAACTATGATACCGGTGAATTTACCATAAATTCCCACTAGCGCACACAACAGTCAACATTTTACATTAGTCTTATCAGGCCTAATGATAGCATGTGATCAGCTGACTGCGGTTGCCAGGCAACCCATCGAGTCTATAAGTGTGTGTATGAGAGAGATCCTGCTCGGATAAGCTGGTAGTGTCTTCATGTACGTGAAATGCACTAATACTGTGCAAATACATGAGGTTCGACATTAATTTTCAATATTTACAGAGGAAAAAATATATTAGGAGCACACAGATTGTGTCAGAATGTGTCTCTCCTGAATCTACACCTTTAACAGAGAAGAGACTGAACGATGATATATAAAGCCACGCCCTACGAATCCTGCAGTCAAACAGTAATGAAGTTCAGCTCCGCTGAGGTAAACTTTCACCTTCTAAAATAATCATTAAACAACTAATTTCGAGGCATGGAGAAGTGAAGGAGGTATGAGAGGACGGATAACGAAATGAGAGAGAGAGAGAGAAAGAGAGAGAGAGATCCCTGTCTGTAGTTGTCTGCCCGGCAGGAAATAAGCCATCTCTATGGGCTACTCGAGTGACACACGGTATCACTGACATTATGGCATTATATTTCTTTATCCTTTTTTTTTTTAAACAAAACTAAGCTTTTTTTTTCAAATATATATAGATATATATACTCATATAAGTGATACTGTACAGCTCAGAAATATATATATATATTTTTTTTTTTTTACAATCAAGAAATAGATACAATTTGTATCAACAAGCAAAAGGTCGTTTCTGGACATTTGTTGTGTTGGTAGCTTGCTGCTCAACTGCACAGGGGTCTGAACCTCGGAGCATAAGCAGCGGACAGCAATGTCGTAATTTACAAGAAATTCGTTTCTAGACTGCTCTAGAAACACATACTTCGGGATTGTTTGCTCCTAGGTTCAAAGGAGAAGGGGAAAAGGAGAAACCCAGCCGTAAAAACACTTCCATCACAAACAAAAATACACATTTAGGCCTGAAACATACACTGCGTAAGTACATCAATGAAGTTAAAAGTGTGGTCACATTAGCGAAAGTTTGTGGGCAAAAATGTCTACTGTCAATGTGTGTGACCAACTTCTTGAACTCATTGCGAAACTTGTATGGGGAAATTTATTGCCTTGCATAAATTCCCAATCCTATGGATTCCTATTGAAATGACTGCATTTCGCCCACAAAAAATTTGCCAAACAACATTAAATGTAACCCCACCTTGACACTTCTAGCTGGATTTCACATAACTGCATTCCAAAATGCGTCACAATCACTGATCTATATATACTATTATAGATCAGTGGTCACAATTCATAACATAACAGAACTGCAATTCTGCCACAGCCGGTACTATAGCAGGCAATACTGAACGCACAATTATTAGAGCATAAAATAAAAAAGGAAAAAAAAAACATTCAAATTTGTTTTATAGTAGATTCTTGACAGTTCCAGATTTTCTGAAAGCTCGTAAAAGCGTGAAATGTAATATTTTATCATCTGCTGCCTTTAATGTCACAGTTGAAGATGGACACTAAGGAATGATTTAGGAATGTGAACATTCCTGTGGTGCTATTAGCCAAAAAAAATAAAAAAATTAAAAAATGTTTACGTAAGCCAGAAGTTGTCATGACTTAATCGATCAAGCATTAGTGTCTACAATTATGTACTTGCATAAACATGTCTCTGGCCTAAAATGTGTAAATAATTATTTTTTAAAAATACAAATAAAAACTCTAACCCGATTGTAAAAAGAAAAAAAATCATTAATAGCCTCCTGAAAGAACCCTGTTGAAAAACAAAACTAAGGGGAAGGAGAACCGTCTGTGTTCGTATTAGAGAGCTGAGAGGTTGGGTTTTGAGTCCAAGTCGAAGCAGGGTCGGGGGCGGTAGAGAGGCAGCAAGCGAACTGTCAGCCAAATGTCAGAAACAACCCAACAACAGCCTGGTGTTCCGTGTGTGTGTCGTACAGGAAGAGACCGGTAGGCAGTGTGTCACACCTTCCCACGAGCAGTAACGGGGTCCCACGGGGCCACACCTGTGCTCATGAAAAAAAAAATTAAGGAGCAATTTAAGTATTTTTGAAAACACCCAGAGCATCTCTGGACCAATAACATTCACGCTCTCCTGAAGATATGTTAATTTACAGGGCGGAGCAGATTAAACGGGGCGGTCTCTCGGCATCAATCAGGAAACAGATGCTGCACAGGAGCATTTTGCCGAAGAGACGCATTCTCCTCCCCAGTTTGTGAATACTTGAACGTAGTTATTGACTAACGAGCCAAACGTGAGCGGCGCTCTCTGTCAAGCATAGTGCTAACATGCTGTCTGGGAGAGATTTACTGAAGCCCATGCTTACTCAAACATCTCTCTTGAAATCTACAATACAACAACAACATTTAGGAAATACATAAGAATAACTTCTCCAACTAGACATACCTAGTGCTCTCAGATCAAAAAACCATACACCGATTATCTTTTTGGCTCAATCTTTGAAAATGGCTTTGTAAATACGCATCCGTGTGTGTGCGCGAACAGACATCGCAGGGGCAGGTTTGCAGTTACAGCCCAGCCAGTTAAAAAGTCTGAACCGCAGCACAGCAGAATCTAAACCTTTCTGTCCCAGTGCTCACTTTTATAAAACAAATGCAAAACAGCGACCTCCACAGCTATTAAGCACTATTCACATTAACGTGTGGTGAGGTCACTCCAATGTAAGGCCATAAAAGTTCAAAGGTCATGCTTTGAGGTACGCAAGCAAGCGTTCATTCTTCTTTCTGAAATCACACATCAAGTCATCACGCACACCAAAAAAAAAACACACCACGGTGTCACGTCATATTTACACGCAAATGCAAGTGAATACACATATACATACACAATACTATTCATATTGTGCAGGACCATTTCTGATCAGTTTTACCAAAGAGATTTCTCTCATGTAACTCTTTTTCAAAGGATAAATGTTATCATCAACAACGAAAGAAGACATTCTCAAGATATGCCATCAAACTGGCAGGCAGTTGCTCTCTCAGTGTGGATACACTTTTATGAACAAACTTTTGGCCCATCTCAGGAGCTGAACGGTGGACTTTTTTTTACGAGGGATCTCAGGTTTCTACGCTAAACTTCTCAGGTACAAGATCCAATCATAATTACACACGAGGGATGGCCGTTTATTCAGAGCGATTCATATTGTGCAGGACCATTTCTGATCAGTTTTACCAAAGAGATTTCTCTCATGTAACTCTTTTTCAAAGGATAAATGTTATCATCAACAACGAAAGAAGACATTCTCAAGATATGCCATCAAACTGGCAGGCAGTTGCTCTCTCAGTGTGGATACACTTTTATGAACAAACTTTTGGCCCATCTCAGGAGCTGAACGGTGGACTTTTTTTTACGAGGGATCTCAGGTTTCTACGCTAAACTTCTCAGGTACAAGATCCAGGCTCCCATATGGCTTAACAGATGACATAACCAATGCAGCATCAATGCTATCATGCTAGCCAACCTCCTAATGGATCCAATCATAATTACACACGAGGGATGGCCGTTTCTTCAGAGCGAAACAAAAATACGAAATTCTCAAGGTGTCCGATTTCTCATTCACTAGGTGTTGTTAGCAGCACTTCGTGATGTGCTTAGTGGCAAGTGCGCAGTTTAGTGACGATGACGGCAGCCAGCTGCTGGGGATCGGTCATGTGAGGGTTCTCCTCCATGACCAAATGGACCACATACGCCGGGAAGATGTTACAGAGGTTTCGGTAGGTTTGATACTGGTGTTCTGGAATAGGGTGCCGCTCTTGGGGTTCCTCCGCTGGCCCACGAGCGCTGAGCGGTGGAGGCGGCACGCTATCCCACGGGGACCTCCAGATCTGCTCCATCTTCTCGGGCATGCTGCGGACCATCACCCTTTCACAGCAAGGCATGAGGCCTCCCGTTAATCCGTAGCTTCCGTAACTGTAGGGCTCGTTACCACATGGCAAAGGGTCCCAGCTGGCATGCTGCTCTCGGCAAAGAGGAGGTCTCCGCTGGCGCAGCGGATTGCTCTCGTAGAGCCGCGAGTCAGAAATGCTGTCCATTCGAGTCATGCCTAAGGACCGACCCTGCTGGGAAGGGCTGGCAGAAGGCAACATGTTCTGGGACATAGGAGGGTAGTCTCCTGGGCAGCTGGATCGGGCGCAGATGACTGGGTGCTGGGAGAGTGGTGTAAGGTGGGCGGAGGACTGCTTTCGAGGTCCCGGTTTAGGTTCATCCGTTCCATGGCTCTGCACACGTGTCAAGGCCTCATGGTGGAAACCGTGAGCAAAGGCTTGAAGGCGTGTTTGCGCCGAAGGTTGAGTCTGGATCTGCGACGGTGGCCCTTTCATGCTGTCATCTAGGCTGCCCTCCAATGAGTTGAGGTACATCTCTCCACTGTAGGACGAGAAGGAGTCCGACGAATGACTTCGGCCGGGTTCTGGGCACATGCTGGCTCTGCCAGGATATCCTACACCCACCCCTACAGGCTCTGGCTGTTCAAGACTGCAGAAACTGTCTTGGAGGCTGATGGTGGAGAAGTCACTGAGCATGGAATAGTAGCCGTGGTCGCTTACCACAGAGTCGTACTTGGGGAACGGCTCACCGTAAGCCACGGAGGCGCCCTGACTATTGGTGACTAGGATGGGGGGGTATTGGACGCTGCCCGCATGCTCGAGCGAGCTGTGGGTAAAGTGCAGAGACCCTGGAACAGGGCTGCTCGCCGAGCGTGTGTTCAGAGCGCCTGCTGCGTGACTTTTCGTCAGCGGCATAGTTGGAACACTAAGCGCCGAAACTAACGACGGTACCGAACTGGCCTCAGCCTTCCGTGCTGGACAGAGTCTCTCTTCTTGCTCGCACGCAACCGAACGGATACTAGGGTCAGACTGGCGCTTGGGTGCCACTCGCTTTGCCTCGGAGCTACTGTCTCCCTTGTTAGCAGAACCAGAGGTCCCACATTTGGCAAGTGCCCCCTCGCTCATTGTCTTTACAGCGGAGAGTTTGGCAAAGGCTCTGAGCTCGTCTGCAACAGCCCGCTGTGGTTGGTTGGCTCTTTCTGGGTGGTAGTACTTGCATTTATGGCCGTACGTGCACTTCTTACCTGTGATAAAACCAATAGTGGTTTGAGACAAAAATGTTACTTCTGTGTTTCTAAAACACTGATTCAAAAATAGCAGTATACTGAAAATGTATTAATAGTTTGACAGTGCATGAAAAATGTTAACAAATATATTTCTGTCATGACAACTCTGAAGATTTTAGCATGGTAATGGATATAACAATGTTAATGTTTTTGGTTTTGGCGGAATAGATCTGCTACACTGCTGAATTGCGGCTGTTGGTTATTGCTGTTGTTGTAGATTATTGCTGCTGCAAAGAAAAACAAGTACAGGAAATTACTTCTAATATACATACACCGATATGGTGCTTTGAGTATTTAAGACATACTGCTGCTGCTAGTGTTGTCAAAAGTACCGACCGCAATACCAGTCGGTACTGAAATTTTAAAAACGTCTTACCGCTGATTGGCCATTGTGTTCACATGCTCAACAGATATGACTGTGATTGGCTACAATGATCATTGCTTCACGCTCTTCAACAAGCGCTCACACAAAAACACACGGGAGCGTTTGAAAGCCACGTCTATCAGCAGATCCATCTATATGCAGATATATTAGGGATCCGCTGATAGACACGGCTTTCAAATGCTCCCGTGTGCTTCTTTGTGAACGCTCAGTGAAGAGTATGAAGCGATGATCATTGTAGCCAATCACAGTCATATCTGTTGAGCGCATGAACACAATGGCCAATCAGTGATGTTTAAGAATCCGCTCAAATGTTAGCGGGAAATGGACATTTTTTAAATTTCAGTACTGACTAGTATCGCAATCGGTACTTTTGACAACACGAGCTGCTGCACAAATAACATATATAATAACCTGTAGTCTACACAGGTGGAGCTGGGGAAGGGGGAGGGTTTCAGAGTAACTTTCAAAGCGTGCTGCAAATTGCTCTAGTGAATGCAGATCAGCCATTTAAATGTAAAGCAGCAAACTCATTGGCTGCATATGCAACATGAACCAATCAGCTTGTGCCAAGTAGTTTAACGCTGTGAATATCATCAGTTTGCATTAACGAACCATCAGCCTGCACCATCTAGAGTTTCATGACAGAACTTGGCATTTATCTTATTTTACATTACAGTGTTAATGCAGTAAATATATTTTAATATGCTGTGATGTTCTGGAATAAAGACATAAATTAATTTCCTACTTTTGCTGTACTGACCATAAGGACACGGCTGCTTCTTGTGCTCTGGAACCGCTGGTCGTTTGCGGAGAAAATTTTCCAGACTGGGTCCATGTCTGCCTAAAGGATCATCAGGAGGCATAAACCTACAAATCAGTCCAACAGACACAAATAAGCACAACTCTATGATAGGAAGAATGATTTAAATCTAAAACATATTTAATGAAACATATTTAATTAAACATTATCATTATTGATATTATAAATATGAGATTTTATATATTATACAGAAGTATGGTAAAATACTACTGTTCTAAATTCTTTATTGCTTGCAGCCATGATGCAAATATTAAAATAAAGTGAAACCGGAGCACTCTGCATTCGTAATATATGTTAAAGCAACATTAATAGTTTTGCGTGAGTGCAACGTGAACCACCACAGATGGTGTATAGTATGTGCATGACAAGAGCATTTGTATTGCACTACTGCATCAGAAAATGAGACAAAAATGCCCATTTATGGCATTTCTATATTCACTTAAAATGACTTTATTTGGATAGCAATGTGTGGCTTACATCATATGTAACTGGGAACAGGTAATTATGTAATCACAAGAGGCCTAACCATGGGACCTCGTCACTGAAAAATCAAACTTGAGCAAATAAATCAGGAAATTAATTAAAGCTTATTTACAAAGAACAAGAGAGACTTGAAACAAGTGACCGAGCAATAAAAAGTGAAAGAAGAAAAACAGAGAGAAAAAGGAACGCCATACGGGTGCGAGGGTGGAAAGCAGAAGACACAAGTGAGTGAGAGAGAAAACCCCATCACCATGGTAACTGTGCGAGCATACTTGTCGTTGACGAAGCTGTACATGAGGAGTCGTTCCTCAATAAATTTCTTCCACTCTGGTTTTTCATTCTGCAAGTCTCGGTAGTTGTCGTTGGACACGATGATCCCGTCTGAGTCACAGGCCAGCTTGACGATAAAACGGTCATCGTAGCAAACCACTCGTCGGCCTTGGACTCTGCGAGACGGCGTGAAGACGAGGATCTTTTCCTTCTCTAATTTCCGTAGGATCTCCTGATCTGAGGATGAAGGTGACATCACACATCATCACTTCCTGTGACCTCATGCACAGACATACGCAAACTTGTATAAACATCACAGCACAGATGGACGATCTCACTGGACACATGGCAGCTCCTCAGAGAAGTTCATACAGGCAAATAAAAACAGCTCTTCACTGAAAAAATATCCACTGTATCTAACAACATACAGTAGTATACTGTTGAATTTTCTAAGAAAATTTTGGGATTTTAAACATTTTTAAATAAAGAAACATTATGACGATTAAGAACATATCTATGTCAATAATCAAAGACGTAAACCTGTGACACAGATCATGTGAACTTTGTAAAAACAAACAAAAAATTTTTTTGTTTGTCTCGACTGAAGCACAAGATGCTGTTTGGATCATTCTCAAATCACACTTGAGAACATGATTCACCAGGTTTTACACAAACTTGTGGAGTTCATGCAGCTTGAGAGCTAATTTTGCTAAAGCAAAAGAAGGATGAACAATACTAATAAATTCATTTTTAATTCAACTTTTCACTCAAACTGTTATATTTAAAAATATATACATTAAATTAGAAAAGAAATTAGACATTTCAAGCATTTTAACTGGTGGTCTCAGATTTTTAGACTAACTGGATATACACAGACACACACTGGCACTTCATGGAAGTGTTAACTCATCATAGAAACATCATTTTCTACAGGTTTTTTAAATTTTGTGGTACCTTTGATTGGCGCATCAGGTCTTGACTGTTCTTTCCTCCATGCTGGGACGAAAACTGTGATGTCTTTGTGGCCCTTCTCCAGGAACCAATCAACAGCCAGTTGAATGCCCAGGCATGAGAACACCTCTTTGTTTCCATGGCTACAAAATAATATTACCAACATCAAATTACACACATAGTTCTCTCACTGATTGGACTTTTCTCAATACTAAGAGCATTTCAAAACAGGAACATAAAGATCATTTCACCAAAAGACTTCCTGCAACAGTGTAAATTCCAGAAGTAAACAGCAATAGTGAGAATCTGATGACTCTCTAGTTCACAGTTCCCCAGGTTCTGACTAATTCTCTCATCAACATGTTATCAGTCCAGAGCCTCTAAGTCACCATGAAATCAAAACTGACTAGGGATGCACAGTATATCAGCCAATATGATTTTGTTATCTAATTGTGCAATGCGTCATTTCTTCTATTTTTACATTTAGATTACCTTTGTCATCATCTAACTTCCACACAAAGGGAAACTCAAAAACAGCTAATAATTTAACAACACTGTTAAATGTGACCTTTACCAAATATGAAAATGAACATGGTTTCACACTTAGACATTATAATGTTGTGATGCCTGAATTCACTTTTAGCATTTAAAATGATTGATTTTAGCTTCTAGTGTTTTATTTTGTAATCATTTAGAATTTTCAGAATTGTAATTATTTAGCCAGAATATCCCTTTAACATCCCTTAAATTGACCCTTTTACTTTCTAAACGAACATTCTTGTGCACTTTTCAGCAGATAATGTTTCTCATATTATTTGTAATATATAATACATTTCTCTGACTCTAAAACAACTTGCTCTAACTCTAAAATTCTTCCCTCCAACAACTTTTCACAATCCAAACATCTGCCTGACATTTTTAGCTTGAAATATATTGGATTATCGGAGTGTAAAACGGGTTACAAACAGCATATCAAGTTAACTTTGACTGCTAGGCTCAAAACATGCATATGTAGGCCTTGTCAGCAATTACAGAAATTGCATGTTTTTAAACAATATATGTGGAAAGAGTTTGGTTCTCATTAGCATTTACCTCATGGCAACATTGGATCCATCAATCACAATTGGTCGGAGGTTGTCATTCGTGTCTGATGTGTCTTCCTCCAACGATGCTTCGGGGCTGACGGCTTCTTTGGCTCCCACCGCCCATGGTGTTAAACCGGCAGTGCCCGTTGCTGTTTGGCTCTCTGGATCTCCTTTATTCCCTAGCCGTACCAGCTCGGCCAATACATCATTGATTAGTGCGCTGGACCCCAGTTTACTCAGCACAGACTCCACCTGCTCTCCAGAGTAGCCCAGTTTCAGAGCAAAGTCAATTTTGGTTTGGTAATCTCGATCGCTGGTTTGACGCAAGGGCATTTGGGCTCTCTGGGTGTCATCTGCGCGCAACTCCTGTAAGGTGCTGCTCTGGCTGAAGCTGGGACGGTCCAAACAGGATGAGCGGCACAGCTGCCGGTGAGGTTTGGTTGCTATGAGTGGGTCCAGCCTCCTTCCGGTCACTCCTGACCCTGCCGTGCTGACAGTGCCTCCAGAACTCCCGCTCCGTGACCGCGCCTCTCCGTCACTCTCAGAACTGCTCCCATCTTCCCCGGCTTCTTCATCATCCTCCTCCTCCTCTTCTTCTGGAGAGTCGTGGCCGGCAGCAGTGGGCAAGGGCTGGGGTTCGCGGCAGCCGCGATGCTCCATCTTCAGGCGCTGCAGCATAGCGCATGCAGCTGTTACCTGCACATGACCTCCCTGAAGCTCCAGTGCATGGTCCCTCACCTGCACCACGGCACAGCTCTCGTACTCAATAGCTGCACGTAGGGCATGCAGTCGCCGCTGCAGCCAAAGAGTCAAACGCTCACGGTGCTTATGCACTGGACTGATCAGCGACACAATGTACTCCTGAGGGAAAGAGAAAAGATATTTTTATAATTTACATTCAAGTACTTTTTTTTCTCCATGCCATTTTTTATGCAGCTACACATCCAAACCAAGCTAAGAACTTTTTCTAAATTACTTTTTTATACATAAGTAAATCAAAGCATTGCATAAATGGTGCCATTATTCAAATTTTTAAATTTATATATATTTTTTTAATTAGTTAGTAGTGGTAGTTAGTAGTTTAATTAGTAGTGGTCATAATTGTCTATTTGAAATCTGTTTTATTTTTTTTGTATTCATGTGTTCAATGGACATGTCTGTGATTGGCTATAATGCTCAAATGCTGCTGCTGCAAAAAAAAACAAAACAGATTTCAAACAGAGAACAGTCAAGTTTGGCCACTACTGTAGGGTAATCTACAGTTTTTATAATTAGTTACTTTCATCAGTCATAATCATAATCTTGATTATTTATTTGGCTATTTCATTTCTCTCATTGTCAAAAAAAGAAAAAATGTATTAATTAATTAAGGGTTAAAGCACACTGTACAGTAATTATGACTCAAAGGATGCTGGAGCACCTTGCTCTTCTCACATGTAATTGGCCGAACAGGACAGTCTGAACCATTAACTTGGTATCTAATTGCCTATCGGTAAGCCCCTCCCCTCAAACGCAGATGAGCCAATGGCAGTCGAGTATCAGTTGCACGGGGAGCGGAACTCGGACATCTTTAGGTTTCAGCGCCATAGAGAAACATTGGAAGATCCGAAGCTCGCATCGGTTTAATGGTGTTTATGCTACAAAAATGGAAAAACGATGTGCCTAGGGTACTTGTAACACTAATTCCAGTTATCCTGAGAGGATAGGCAATGTAATTTTTTTATCCCATTTCCTAAATCCAACCAAAACAGAGCAAAATGTCTCTAAGCATTCAACCCCAATCCCAATGAAGACGAAAACGTTCCATTTTTCTGGTTGTCATTCTCTCATTAAGTTACAATTTTCATCTGCTCAAGCAGAACGTTAATGTCATCTTGTGCTTCAGCAAGGTATCTCTGGCTAAAACTAGCTAACGTTTGTGTTAACGTTTGGGAGTCCATGCTAACGTACAAAGCTAAATAGCGAACTGTTCTCAAGTCATGTAAGTTACCGTGCAGTGAAAGTCAAAAACACATAAACGAAGGTCTATATTAGAGTGCCTCTCCATATTAATCTGGTTAAATGTAAATTAATTTAATCTTACTCTGCGGTATATGAACGGTGATGATCCGGGATGTTGTAATTGCGATCGTGACGACCGTAACATAATTCTCCCGTTTGCATTGTGATCTGTATTTTTACATATTTATTTTAATATCTGTTATATATCCCTCCATGGCATATTTAAGTCCCTATTGAAGGTCTATCTGTGTCCCAAATTTATCAGAAACACCTCGGAAGAAGGTTTTCACTGACAGCTGTCATTGTAAGACAGTGAGCAACAGAAACTAAGGGGGGGGCGGGGCTTACCGATAGGTCAATTGGTAGCAGCAACAAAGGGAGTAAAATTACACTGCAAATCTGAAAATGCTCCTGATTTTCCTGTAACAGTTTTTTAAATAAACTGTAACACTACTGTAGTGCTGCACTTGTTAGGACCACTCAGCTCACCAATCACTACAGCTTGCCTTGAATCACTTTTAACAATTACTACAGCTTGAAAAGACAGTAAGTTATAAACTACAGCATTAGAGATAGACTGGATATTACAGGAAAACAATTTACCTTCCTACATAACAGTAACAGACATAAGCTTTTGTGAAACTATACATTCCACTGTTCAATCTTAATGTAGACAATATGAGATTTTCAATTATATCAAGTGTTTTTGGCCACTGTGATAATATTAATATTTAACAAATACACTACCGGTAAAATAGTTAGGGTCAGTATTTCATTTTATTTACTTTATTTTTTTAAATAAATTGTTACTTTTAATTTAGCAAGGATGCATTAAACTGAAATAAAAAAATAATAAATAAAAATAGGTCATTTATAATGTTACAAACGATTTCTGTTTCAAAGAAGGCTGTTCTTCAAACATTCTGTTCATTTAAAAAAAAAACTGTGATAAGGTTTTTGAGCACCAAATCAATACATTAGAAAGATTTCTTAAGGACCATGAGACAGAGTAATGGCTGCTGAAGATTCAGCTTTGAAAGAAAATTAGTAACACATAATACAAATAAATTTTTAAAAATGTATGTTTTTTATGCAACTAATATAATAAATTGCTGGGTCTCCAAAGGATAAAATAAGCTTTTCATAACTCTTTTTAATGCTTTTTCTTATTTCATCTAACACTTATTTCATCAAAGGTGAATCTCAACCTTTTGGTGTACCAGACCCCAGTCCAATTCAGAACCATCCTCAAGGACCCCCAGAACAAAATTGACTCATCTATGGCGTGTCTTTGTGAGGACCAAATGCAGTCAAGTATAATTCAAGTTAGCTGACTTGTCCAGTATTTGGCCATATCATCAGCTATACTGGATTTTTCTTTCATGGGAACATGTCATGTCAAAATATACAACATTTATACAAAAATTAATACTTTATACGGACCCCCTGGCCTTATGTCAAGGACCACTAGGGGTCCACGGACCCCTGGTTGAGAAACACCGATCTAACACATGCAAGTTTGCTCTGAGCTCCTCCTGTTTATACAGTATACAGCTAACTCATTGTTCTGTTTTTATTTAAGTCAGTCGGTTTACAGAGGTGAGCATATTCTTAGAAGACAATCGGCATTACGCATGTGCCCATATGTCCCAAACTGTCCCAAATTATGTGTTGTGCGTCATGGCAGATACTTCTATCTATTATACATATACCCATACATACATATATATATATATATATATATATACACATATACACATATACACACACACACACACACGTGTATAGATAGATAAAATACATCTTTCTTCCCCCCTCTCACTATATTCATATATATATACATATATATATGAGGGAAGACAGACACACAACTGGCTTGGTCAGGCTATACAAATGTGCTGCTGGGAAAACTTATCATCGCATTCTTGAATTCTTATGACAGAACATTTAAGTATTGTAAACAATTTCAATATGACAAAATGAGAAGCTACTTTGGGTGGGGCTACGGTTGAACTTCCTTGAGGGGAAACGATACTGTGGTAATGAACTTCTTTCAAAGCAAACAAACTCTGAGACCCTCACGTTTTCTTAAATCCAAACCGGAGTTCGCTCCCTTTCCCTTTAGCAGATTCCTGCACACCTGCCGTAATTCCCTGCTATTCCCCAAAAACTTCTTCAACTCAAGCTTAAATTGGAATTAAACATGGGTAGCTCTATCAAGGTTGATATGCAATGTCTAATGCATGTGTGCATGAGTGAGAATATGTGAATCTGCGTGTGCATGTGTGTGCATCTGTTTGTTTTTGTGTGGGGTGAGAGGGATGTGTGTACGTGTAGGTTGGGAGTGTGTGCGAGTGCATGTGTGTGTAGAGAAAACCGATAGCACCATCCAGCTACGAGAGGCTCCTCTGTGCTCATGACACCGGTTGCCTAGCAACGCAGCCCTGTCATCAGCTAACTGCTTTTTAGCAGTCACGACTAACACAACGCAGTGTTCTCTGGAAAAGCCTGGAACACACACACGCAAACACACGGCGCACATATTACATCGACACCGCTCGAAACCATACAGCGCTTCATGTGCAAAGCCGAAATGCCCGCATAAAGCAGCACACATGCATGCTTCACTAATAAACACCTACGCGCAGAACCGGAGCTCTCCTCGCACATGCGGCGGAGAGAGAGAGCGAAAGTGTGTGTGTGTGTTTGTTTGCATTTGAGAAGAATAATATCACTTTAAACTGACAGTGTATACAATCTTCCCCCTCTCTCTCTTTCTGCAGATGTGGCGCACTGAAGAATTTCCTCCCCAGCGTGACACAGCTGCTGTTCTGAGTCGTGACGCTGACTCCAGCAGCATGTTCCCCTGGGCACTGAACCGCATCATCTGCACTCACAAGCCACGGGCCCGAGCTGGAGATCACAGCTTCAGCAGCAGGTCTCAGATCAGCAGGAGGAGCTGTTCTGAGATCAGTCAAACAGCCTGCAGTAAACCTAAGAGATGACGGCTTTAATAATCACTACAGCTTGAAAAGAGAGGTGCATATTACAGCAGGACACTGCAGGAACACAATTTGCCTTTCCATAGTAGACAGAAGTTTTCTGTTAATATCATTGAGATTCAAAAGTGGAATGTATGAGGCAAACATCCTGAGATTTTCTGTGATACCACAGGCTTGTGGTAAATATGATATTTGTAATATTTAACAATAATAATAATAATATACAATGGTAAACATTTTTGTATTATAAATAAATTATTGTTATGATCAAAAAATGTATCATATGAATGCTTTTTAACCTCTTTATTATAAAATATTTTGATTATTATTACTATTAATGATTATCATTAGAGATGTTAAAAAGCATTTATATGATAAAAATAAAATATATTACTAATATTTTTAAATATAAATATATATATATATATATATATTTGATTATTATAATGATTATCATTAGAGATGTTAAAAAGCATTTATATGATAAAAATAAAATATATTACTTATTACTAATAATATAAATATATATATATATATATATATATATATATATACACACACACACACACACACACACACATATATATG